CCAGGCCTGGCAGCATCTGTGGAGAGAAAGCAAAACTAACGTTTCAAGTTCTGACCCTTCTTCAGAACCCTTCAGGAAGCAGTCTTCACAGAGCTACATTGAATTTTAAATAATGAGGCAACATAATTTTAACTGTTAGATACAGGTGTAGGGGGTATATATGCTACATTTCTGAGAAATAATTTCTTAAAAGAAATTTTAAAAAACACTCTCTTCAATAGTTAGAATCCATGTTGAAGACCAGAGAGTTCCAATAGCTGGCAAGGCAGTATAGATGGCTGATGATTATGAGCTAATCTATAAAACTGAACATTTTTAGCATCACTCCCTAAATTCCAAGGAGGACAGAGGGTGGGAGATTGAAAGGAAGGCAATTAGCCAGTGATAAAAGAACAACTGGGAACAGTTCAGGTATTTTTCCTGAAACTGGAAAGGAAGATGCAGAGGATAGAAGTGAGAATCAAATACCCAAATGTTTCATTTGTTAAAAATGGGCATTTTTATTCTGGATTGAAGTTGTGTGGAAGACATTGGAACTTATTCTCTTATGCAAGTATGAACCTGAAAAAGTGAACAAGAAAATAGCATGGATCAAGTTACATTTATGAGACTGAAGGTAAACAGTGCTATGAATGCAAGCAAGGTGAATAAAGGTAGGGAAGAGATTCAGAACATTTTTGTCAAAAGAAAAGGTCATCAGCATGGAAAGATGGTACCAATTGACCCCTTCCATGCTGTATCATTTCTATAGTTCTGTATATGCCCTTTTTCTTCAATTGCTGTGGCTAAACCCATAACACTACAAAGAGATACAGGAACTATACAAACTCTTCTTCTGGGGGAAGATTTTTTTTCCCTCCAAAGAAAGCATTGAAAGATGAGGTTTTAATATATAGAATAAGTGGAGAATATATACCATTTGCTTTGTACAAAGTGCACTTAGAATGCAACTTAATGTCCAAAACAGTGACACTTGGAGTTGATCAGAAATTGACTGTGGATGGGCGTGACTTACTACAAGAGAATGATTTGTCCAGAGCAAAAGTGGGAGCTTCAGGTTCAGATATTTCCGCATATTTTTCCATTATGTGTCATGACCAGAGTAATGATGAAGTAAAGTCCAAACAAGAGGTAAAAGTGATACCACAAGCAGATGTTGTAGTAGCTGAGACTTTATTTTTAAACAGGGATAACTCAAAGGAAATGTTTAGTAAGTCAGCTTTAATTAACTCTCCACAAGCAGATCTGGAGTTAAACAAGTTAGGTTAATTAGCCCACACAGAAGCTGAGACTGAAGGAGTTCCAAAATAGTATCATGTGAAGCATGGAGTTCTGATGAGGAAGAGGAGACTTCCTCACAGATCTGTGGATGAACAATGGATGGTTATTCATCAGTTAGTGGTACTGCCCTATTACCATAAAGACATCTTGGAGGTAACACACAAAATTCCTATTTCAGGACATGTAGGGATAAGCAGGCATTTTCCTTGGCCAGATATTCATAAAAAATCACGCAGTTCTTCAAACTATGCTATACATGTCAAGTAGAAGCAGGTTAATCCAGGTAATGTTCTGGGGACCCAGGTTCAAATCCAGCAATGGTAGATGAATTTCAATTCAATAAATACCTGGACTTAATAATCTAATATTTAATCTAATGATTATCATGAATAAATTGCCAATTGTCAGAATGTCACCAATGCCCTTTAGGGAAGGAAACTACCATTCTAATCTGCTCTACCTACATGTGACTCCAGACCTTCAGCAACATAGATGACTCTTAACTGTCCTCTAGGCAATAAAAGATGGGTGAGCAACACCAGTAATACCCATTAAAAAAAAACCAGGGGGCTTCAGAGAGATATCACCAATGACAACAGCAAATTGTAATGAATATCCTCAGATTGGAACAGAGGTTTGGATTTCCTAGTCCCTGCAACCAGACATTCCCCAAATGAAACAGAATTATTATGTTACAAAAGGATGCCTTCTGCCCATCATGACTGCATTGGGTTTATATCTAGTGCTAATGTCCTGTCTTTTTTCCATATCCCTGCACACCACAACAATCCAAATAACCATACAATACCTGTTGAATGCTTCTGCTGAATCTGCCTCTGCCTCATTTGGCTATGTTGCAGACAATAGGTCATCTGAAAGAAACCTTCAGTGTCTCACCTGGGGTGTAAGCTTGCCGACTCGTTGTGTGATTGGCTCATTCATGACCACCTCCACTTTACAGTTGTCCTTCTCCTTCGGGACACTGAACTGCAGATTCTCCTTGGAAAGGAATGCAGACTGCCCCTTGGGAACGCTTAGGCCGAGATTCACTTGTATAAAGGAAGGAGCAATGCATCGCCAAAAGCAAAGTTGCAGAAGGATTGCAGGATATTCCCAGCAATGTTTCATTTTAACCAAGAAATATTCGAAGTTCTCAGCTCTTCACAAACTGCTGTTCCATTTAAAGTGGAATCAAAGTGGAATCGTAAAGTGATAACTTTTTCTCTGAAACAACAATGTACTGATAGATGAATTTGGAAAGTCACTGTCCTAAAGCAGCACTCAGATATGTCAGGTATTTCAGATGTTTGTCAAAATAGTTCACACTTCTGCAGTCCTGAAAAACAAAGAACATCACGTTTATGTGATTTGTTTTAAAAGCATCATTTTTCCACCTGCTGTTCCCTTTGCCACTGTCAACATTTCTCTGTACGTGGGACAATTCTGTTGAATTTTCTCGGAGATTTGTGCTCAAAAGCATCTCTATGCTAACAGGATTGAAAAACAAATATGCATAGTGATGTCTACCTCAATCCATTAACTGATGTGTTTCTGTGAGTTTGTGTTCCGAAGACTTTTTCGCCATGATGTTGCTAATGTTCAGCATTAGGAGAGATTCTATTAAGTTTCATCCAACTGGTTTACTTAAAACAAGAAATTACAACAGGCTTTATGACAGATGAAATTAAAAACATATCCTTTAACACATTGTTTTTGATCATATGAAATTAATCAGACACTCTCACCACTATACGTGAGTAGATGTTGCACAGATTCACAGTCATTTAACACACACAAGGATGATACTTGGCCTATTGAGTTCATGTCATCTTCCCTCTAGAGCAATGCTGTCACTTCTGCTCTCCCACTCAATTCTCGTAGTCCTGCAAATTTATTTCCTTCAAGTGTCCATCTTAATTCCTTTTGAAGTCATTAATTGTTTCCTGCAATACCCCCTTGGGCAGTGAGCTTCAGCTCAGTACCATTTACTGCATATAATGGATCTTCATCACACCCTCTGTATTTCTTGTCCAAAATCTTAAATTTGTGTTCCTTAGTCCATGCAAGATCAGCAAATGGGAAAGGTTTTCTTTGTTAATTTATCTAAAACTGTCATAAACTTGTACATGTTGATCAAATTTCCCCTAATTGCCCTTGCTCCAAGGAGAGCAAGTTTGCAACTGCATCTTGTCACTAAAATCCCCTAGCCCTGGGACCATTCTGGTAGATCTCCCCTGTCCCCTGTCAAGGACACTCACATCCTTCTTAAAGTGTGATGACCACAGCTGGACATAGTGTTAGAGTTGTAGCCTCGCCAAAGCTTTACAAGTGAGACAGTATACCTTCCCTACTTTTGTACATTAATGTACAAAATCCTAATCTCTAAATAAGTACATCCTTAAATCTTCACAGATCAAGGCACATGACCCCTAAGGTCGAATCAGAGATAGTAGGAACTGCAGATGCTGGAGAATCTGAGACAACAAGGTGCAGGGCTGGATGAACACAGCAGGCCAAGCAGCATCATAGGAGCAGAGAGGCTGACGTTTCGGGCCTAGACCCTTCATCAGAAAAGGGGGAGGGGAAGGGGGTTTTGAAATAAATAGGGAGAGAGTGGGAGGCGGATAGAAGAGGGATAGAGGAGAGGATAGGTGGAGAGGAAACAAACAGGTCGAAGAGGCAGGGATGGAGCCAGTAAAGGTGAGTGTAGGTAGGGAGTTAGGAAGGGGATAGGTCAGTCCAGGGAGGACGGACAGGTCAAGGGGGCGGGATGAGGTTGGTCGGTAGAAGATGGAGGTGCGGCTTGAGGTGGGAGGAGGGGATAGGTGGGAGGAAGAACAGGTTAGGGAGGCAGGGACGAGCTGGACTGGTTTTGGGATGCGGTAGGGGGAGGCGAGATTTTGAAACTTGTGAAATCCACATTGATACCATTGGGCTGCAGGGTTCCCAAGCGGAATATGAGTTGCTGTTCCTGCAACCTTCGGGTGGCATCATTGTGGCACTGCAGGAGGCCCAGGATGGACATGTCGTCTGAGGAATGGGAGGGGGAGTTGAAATGACCCCTAAGGTCCCTCTGTTGCTATAGATTCATTCTACCTAGTGATGTTAAACCTCTGCAAGTACCTGTTCATTTATTTCCTCATTATTGATGAGGGAGAACCTTGATCTCCACTGATTTTAACTTAATAGGCATTTGGTTGGTAGGACTGTTCTTGCATTCTTTTTTGAATAAAAGGTGTTACATTTGCCAAACCCCAATCCTCTGTTTCCTACCTCCTATCTAGGAAAGATCAGATGATTAAATCAACCTATATACTACATCCACCCACATTTCCTGTAACAATCTAGAATGCAGACTAACCACAAGAGATGATGTATCCACTCCGTGTACATCTTGTGTTTCCGATACCTCTTCCTTTTCTATTTTCACATATGAACAAACTAACATGCAAAATAGGTGCAGAATAGACCACTCTGCCATTCGATTGTGCTCTGTCATTCTGTAAGATCATGGCTGATCTGTTTGTGTTTCAAATTCCACATTCCCATCTACCCTCATTAATCCTGGATTCCCTTAACAACAATCTATCCACCTCTTAAAAAAGGAATCACTGACTCTGACTCCAGCTCTTAAAGCAGAGAGTTCCAAAGTTGCACAATTTTCAGAAAAAAGAACTTCTTATTTCTATGCTGCACGGATGACCTCAAATTTCAAAACACTTCCCACAGTCTGGATTCTCCACAAGAAGTATCTCTTTCAAATCCACCTTGTCAAGACCACTCAGGATCTTATACATTTTAATCAAGTCACCCTCACTTTACTAAACTCCAGTGGAAACAGACTCAGTCTTTCCGGCCTTTCCTCATAAAGCAACCTATAGATTCCAGATATAAATTTAGTAAAGTTCTTTCGTGCTGCCTCCAAAACATTTAGATCCTTCCTTAAATAAGGAGAAAAAATCTGCACATTATTCAAGATGCAAGCTCACCGATGCTTTATATAACTGAAGCATAACATCTGTACTTATTTTCAACTCTGCACATAATAAAAGGGTAACATCCCATTAGCCTTCCTAATTATGTGCTGTACCTGCATACAAGTGTTTTATGACTTTTGCAATATAACATCCAAATCCCTTTGCACCTTGGAATTCCATGTTCATTCTCTGTTCAAGAAATACTTTACCATTGGATTGTCCTTAACACTGTTTTGTAAATGCAACAACAAAACTCCATATTGCTGGTCAGGACTTCCAAACTCAGGCCCTTCAGAAATGTGGAGCAGACCTGCTATTAGAGTTTATCTTTACAGCACAGCTCATCGGGGGAAGACAAACCACACCTGCTTTTTACTGCACTATCTGTTGTACTCTGGAAAGCTCATTCATAAACACATTGAAAATGTTTGGGACATTGTAACAACTTTTCAAGGAAAGTTAATGAATGAGTATGAAGAAAAGACAAATGTTAACTCCATTTCTCTCTGCGCAAATGCTGCCAAACCCATCAAATTTCCAGTTTCTGCAATACTTTGCTTCATCACACTGTGAATTGCATATCATAGAGTCACACAGCATAGAAAGATCCTTTAGTTCAACACGTCCATGCCGACCAAGTTTCCCAGACTAATCTAAACCCATTGCCTGTGTTTGTCCCATATCCCTCAAAAACTTTCTTATTCATGCACCTATCCAAATGTCTTTTAAATGTTGTAACTGTACCTGCATCCACCACTTCCTCTGGCAGTCCATCCCACATATGTACCACTCTCTGTGTGAAAAGTTGCCCCTCAGGTCCCTTTTAAATCTTTCTCCTCTCTCCTTAAAAATATGGCTCCTACTTTTGAAATCCCTAACACTAAGGAAAATACCTTTACTATTAACCTTATCTAAGCCCTTCATCACTATATAAACTATTTTACAAACTTTTCTATAAGGACACCCCTCAACCTTCTACACTCCAGTGGACAAAGTCCCAGTCTATCCTTATAACTCAAGCCCTCTAGTCCCAGCAACATCTTGGTAAATCTCTTCTGAACCCTCTCCAATTTGGGGCGACTGGAACTGTACACAGTTCTCCAAAAGTGGCCTCACCAATATCCTGTACAACCTCAACATGACATCCTAACTCCTATACTCAAAGGTCTGAACAATGAAGGCAAGCATGCTAAACAAGTTCTTAACCACCCTACCTATCTGTGATGCAACTTTCAAAGAATTATGTCCCTGAATCCCTAGGCCTGTGTGTTGGACAACACTATCCAGGTCCCTACCATCAAGTCCTGCCCTTGTTTGTTTTCTGAAAATGCAATACCTCAAGTTTATCCAAGTTAAATGCCATCTATCACGCCTCAGTCCATCGACCCAATTGATCAAGATCCCTTTGCAATCTTAGATAACCTTTTTCACTGCCGACTATGCCACCAATTTCGGTGTCATCTGCAAACTTATGAACCATGCCTCCTAAATTCTCATCCAAATCATTTATATAAATTGCAAACAAGTGGTTTGGTTCTTTAATAATCAAATAATCATTTGCCTACAACTTATATCAGCTCTTCCCTATTGCAATACAGGGAACTATACTCTCTTTGATAGGGATACATTGCTGAAGGAATTATTCTCAAACCCGAATGATATCTGGAGGGTTATAATCTGCATGATTTTGCTATAAAACATTATTGGAAGGATAGGAACACTCTCAGGAGATTCCTTCACTTTCAAACTCATTTAGAACCTTAGAATAGATTGAGGAAGACAGATTCCTAAGAGTGCACTTGATCTTAGATTGTTCCCTACTATCGATGTCTTGGGCATTGCATTATGTTATAAAGTGGAGGTTGAGCCCCCCTCTGTAAACTAAAACCAAAACACCCAAAACAGGAGCACCTCACCTTATCATCTTTAAAAGGAGCGTGAAAAGTGGTGTAACCTGCCTTCAGCAACTTCTTGCGGTTAAAATAAATCACCTTATGACACTCACTTTACAATCAACAAGCAACAATTATTTATCTCACTGTAACAATGAACAAAAGAACTAAACTATCAACAAACCAAGTAAACCCCTTCCAACTACTAACTATACCTGAATAAAACAACATTCTAATAGAATGTTGTTCCAATAAATTCAAATCCCACTTACATAAAATAAAAAAAAGTAGAATTTAGTCTTTTGAAATTACAGCTAGATTACATGTCTTACGGAATGCTCTATACCTTCTTTGTCAAATGCTCTGTCCTGACTGCCACCTCCATCGATTCTTCTATCAGGAATATTAACTAGTTGTGCCATTGGTACCTTTGATATTTAGATGGTGCTTTCTCTAAGACTTATAGG